AGTGGGCGCTGTGAACACAGCTTTGTAAGGTAAACAGCTTTTGAGTCTTTCTCCTCCCAGGTGATAAGAAGGCAGAGAATTAAAAGTCAAACAGCTAGATGCTTTGAAAGTCAATCAAAATTAATTAAGAAATTATAATTCGGTCAATAATGCACCAAGAAGTCTTATAATGACCTCGGTTATTCTGTTTAAGTGCAAACAAGATCATCAGTTGTATTTCCCATCCAATGATAAGATCGCTGCCAATTAACGTAAGGCTTAATTAACTCTCTGAGGTGCTGCACTTGAGAGGTTTTTCCTATAGTGTGTTTTAACATTCTAATTCCTTATCACAACGGAGTGTGCAATTTCTTGATTTAGGGTTATTATTTCACTAGAGCTGCGGTTATACGTTCCTTGCCATTTTTCATTTAAAGAAGAGGGGAAAACACAACAATATTAAATTATAGCTAATGCTTTCCGAAGGAGGGAGAAAACCCCTTAATAGACTTAAATCAAGTTGAGTGAAGCAGGAAGGCCTTCCTTAAGCATGCGCTAAATTGGGACCTGGTCTAGTCATAGATAAGCATTTTAAACCCCACTGAACACGTCTAGGGTTCAACTGGATGAGCACCGAACTCTCTTCTCCTCAAAATGAAAGAGAGCGCATCTCTCTGTGTAAAAATCTTCACCAAAGACAATGCAGGTTTCATAACTAAAATCAGTATGACCTCATAATATGGCTGTGCATCAAATTCTCCCTCTTTTAAATTAAAATTATTCTCCCTATTCACCGTGCTTTTTATTTTGGGGCCTTGCCACTGTCCTTTTTAGGTCTACGAGCCAATAACATAGTAACAGAACAACAGAATAACAGAGTTGTAAGGGACCTTGGAGGTCTTCTAGTCCAACCCCCTGCTCAAGCAGGAGAACCTATATCATTTCAGACAAATGGCTGTACAGTATCTTCTTAAAACCTTCCAGTGTTGGAGCATTCACATCTTCTGCAGGCAAGCCGTTCCACTGGTTAATTGTTCTCCGTGTCAGGAAGTTTCTCCTTAGTTCTAGGTTTCTTCTCTCTTTGATTAGTTTCCAACGGTTGCTTCTTGTCCTGCCTTCAGGTGCTTTGGAGAATAGCTTGACTCCCTCTTCTTTGGGGCAACCCCTTAGATATTTTTTTTCTCAGATGCTCCTTTGCTGGTTCTCCATGCTTTCTTCTCCATTTCTCATCTTCTTAACTGTCCCCACATTATTGCTTGCTGAATACAACTCTCTTTCCCTCCAGAACTGACTTGATCAACTGGCCTGGAAAGATGACTTCATAACACCACAAAAGAGTGTCTCTTTGATTTCCAGTCACACCAGCAATTCTCTGCTCACTTGAATACTGGAGCACCACATGACTTTTCTTCTCCACGTTCCTTTCTCCAACCCAGAAGAGGCTTCGGATCTTGTACTGTATCTCATTCCACAAAGCTGGAGAACACCTTTCCAACATTTTTTGCATCGGGTTTCTTTAGGGAAAACATCCACACAACCCATCTTTTCCTCTATCTGAAGTCTCATCGGCTGCCCACACTTCACAAACTCAACAGCCTGAAGAGAACCATTTCCTCCTTTGTGTCTTGGGATTTAACCAACACTGGAGAAGCTTCCAACTGCTGGTGAGAAGACTGATCACGAAAACAGGACACCAGCTAGAGGAGGCACCACTCGCTTCTGCTGCATGGATAGATCAGCCTAAAGACCCCACAGAGAGAAAGTTTTGCCTGTATTTATGTGGACATTGCCGTAGATTTAAGTGCACATAAAACCGAGCTTTGCATCACACATAGAGTAAGATTCCAATCAATCTTGAATTCATCCCCGGAGTGCACTAACATTTTCCTTGCACTTGGGTGCTTTCTTGAAAGCCACTAAATTATCTGTTTAGAGAGATTAAGCAAGGGGGCTGGAGGACACGTGAACAATAACTTAAAGGGGCAAACAACACCTTCCCAGTTTACATTCTTAGCCAAAATTAAAACCTGCAGCTTCCTCATGCTTTTTTAAAAAAAAAACCTAAATAAATAAAAGCACAGCAGTTTCTTCGCTTAACAGCCGCAACAACCACAAAAAATCTTTATTGCTATTTTGAGGCATCGTTTCCTTTATGAAAACCAGTATCAAGAGGAATATTATACCCATAACTCGGGTTTGCTAAGAATTAATGCAAGGGAAAATTATGCTAAGGCAACTGAGTGAGTTTAATTGCAGTTCCACTGTATAATATTTTGATGCCACTATAAAAATGCAGAACGAGGACATAACAGCTCTATTAATTGCTAATAAATTTAGAAGGTAAGCATTTGCAACCGGGGGGAGAAAGCTTCAGCTTTTCTGCCCGGAATTTGTCAAATGTGGGCAACATTTGGTAAATTTCGAGAATGCTACATATTTACATGACTCCAGCAAACCATCCCTAGTTAATACATAGTTAATCCTCGAATTACAAACAGTTCATTTCGTGACTGTTTGAAGTTACAACAACGCTGAAAAAAGCGACCTCGGTCGAGCACATCCCTGTAAGTATCCTAACTCCAAAGGACTCCAATTTCCCCAACAGTCTTGATAACTTTACCTCTTCCACTTAGGCAAGCCAGCCAACAAGCATCCCAGTGGGTTTCTCGTTTCACACCCTTGTGGGGCCAAGGGTCCATGAATGTTGAGATGCGATACTTTCGGTGGATCAACCTTCCGGGGGGGGTCAACCCCTCCTAATTGCTCCACACATTGGGCCTTTGCTATTTCCTCCCCCCCTCTTCATCTCTTCTGCCACTCCACATTGCTCGCTTCGGTGGGGCTGTGTCCTCCCACCTCAGTCTGTCTGATTTTGGCCAGCAGAGAGTCTCCCCCCTCCCCTCCAATGTGCCTTCCTGGTTTGATTCCTTTAACAGGCCTCTGGTTAAATGCATGCAGCAATTTCTCTGGAAACAGCCACCGGCATTTGCAATCCTTTCAAAGGTCTCTGGCAGATTTCCCAGAAAAGCAAGACAGGGGTCATTGAAACCAGTTGCCAGGAAGGATAGATAATGTTCTTTCTGAGTTATTTTTTCTGGATGCTCTCCATCGACGAAATAAAACACACACACACACACACACACACACACACACACAGATGCCACTGCCTCCCCAGTTCCTCTCTATCAAGACGAGGAGCCACCACAAGGACGACGTGTATGTGCTACTTCCCAGCAATGTTTTTCAAGATCTCCCAGATCGTCTAGACCAGGGGTAGTCAACCTTGGCTCTTTTATGACTCGTGGACTTCAATTCCCAGAATTCCTGAGCCAGCTTAGCTGGCTCAGGAATTCTGGGAGTTGAAGTCCACGAGTCATAAAAGAGCCAAGGTTGACTCCCCCTGGTCTAGAAGGCGACTTCAGCATTGAACCAAGTTAAGCATAAGATTTTCTTTGGAGCTGATGCCCTCTTGATGGCTCTTCCACAGATGGCATGGCCTTCTCCACTTGGACGGTATCCGTATCACTGACTGACAAGAGCTACATCTTCAATTCTGAAGGATCAAAAAAAAAAAAAAAACCCAAACAAACACGGTGGAGGCACCAAACAGAATAAGTCCTTGAAAATTGCAAGGTTAGTACTGTGTTTAATGCTAACTAAACATAGCCTCCTCTGTCCTTCACTAATTAAGTGCATTGATTGGATCTAATGCCCAGTTGACTGTCTATCAGATGCCGTAGTCTTGGGTTCTACTCGTGTGCAGGAAATAGGCTTTGAATCACAGACTTAGTGGGACCGGACCTGGAGAACAGCTGGAGTTAACATTCCTCGGTCTGTGGTTTCTGCTGGACAGCTCCTCTGAGCTATCTGTCAAACAAAGGACGATTCTGATTGAGGAGCGTTTTGATTTACATGTCAGGCCTAGTAAAAAGTGGACAGTGGATCAGACTCCTTGTTTCACAATGTGGTCTTGAGAGTGGTGGCTTTGGACCACCCAGAGAATCTCTGAATGGCTTGGAATGGAGAACCCTGGGATCAACCTGGAATTAAGGAGAAACTTCCTAACAATGAGGACAATTAACCAGTGGAACCGGCTTGCCACCAGAAGTTGTGGGTGCTCCATCACTGGAGGTTTTTAAGAAGAGATTGGACAGCCACTTGTCTGAAATAATATAGAGACTCCTGCTTGAGCCGGGGGCTGGACTAGAAGACCTCCAAGGTCCCTTCCAGCTCTATTCTGATTATTATTATTTTAGCATAAAATTTGAAGACCTGAAATGGCAGACTTTCCTTCTCCTCCTCTTCCTCCTTCTCTCCCTCCCACTTCCTCCTTTCCTTTCCCTCCTCCTCTTCCTCCCCTTCTCCTCCTCTCTTTCCCTTCCTCCTCCTCCTTTCTTCCCTCTCCTCCTCCTTCTCCCTCCTTCCCTCCTGCTCCTCCTCCTTCCCTCCTGCTCTTCCATCTCTTCCTCCTTCTCCTCTTCCATGCTAGCTGGGGCATTTGGGGAACTGAAGTCCACAAATCTTTAAAAGTTGCCAAGGTTGGACACCTTTTCTCTAGAGACTGGCCAATCTTCTACAGATGATGGTGGTGATCTTGGCAATGACAGACTCACCATCCTACCTCCTTCCATTTTGAATTCTTTTCTATCTTAGCGCCGCCTTCCTCTCCCTTTCCTTGAACAGCCAAGGGAATAGAGGAGAAGAAAGCCCCGTATCCAAAGTGTGCCACTTGGGGAGGAAATAAAAACTCGGCAAGAGGAAGTGAGAAAGAACTTGGCACGCCGCACCGAGACGGCCATCATCCTCACGGGCGAAAGGTCTTGGCGTGCAAGCAGGAGAGATGGAGACCGCGTGGCACTCACCTGTGCCATCTGCAGCTTCTGATTCTTGCAAGCTTCCTGAGCGAGAATCGCACGCCAGAGCCAACGGTGTCTCACCTTGTACAGCTGAGCGGTCAGCATTTCCCACTCCCACCCCCCAAAAAACCCCACAGGATCATTTGACATCAGCCGTACACTGGTCTCTTTCTCCCGAAGTCACATAGAGTCAACTTGTGTTTAACATCAGGCTTATCTTAACATTTACATTACCGAACCGTGGATTAAATCATGTACTGGGCATTGCATAAGGAGATTTACTTTCTTGCTGGACTCATGTTTACACAGTAGTCAGTGAGAAATAAATACATTAGACATGAAATGGGGGGGAGGATCTGGGCTCCATTGCCTGCAGGAAGAGAAGGATCCTCATCTTAAGAGTATGAAATAATTAGCATCCCTTTTTGTAAGCATGCAAAGTAAGTGTTTACAATGAGGAGCAGGCACCTTTTAAAATTTATTAATTTGATTTAGATCCCTGTCTTTTCTTTTTTCCCCCCAGAAGTTCAAGGAAATGAACATAAACTGCCTCCTCCATAATTTCCCCACAACGATCCTGCTAGGTAGGCTGGGTTTGGACGATAATCAGGCATGCAATGAGCTCTATGCCAAGGATGGAGCTTCTTCTTCTTCTTCTTCTTCTTCTTCTTCTTCTTCTTCTTCTTCTTCTTCTTCTTCTTCTTCTTCTTCTTCTTCTTCTTCTTCTTCTTCTTCTTCTTCTTCTTCTTCTTCTTCTTCTTCTTCTTCTTCTTCTTCTTCTTCTTTTCTTCCCATGGCAGTAAATCTCAAAACTGGCCACATGAGGGCCTCTCCAAATGATCTCTGCATCTTTCCAAAAATGACAACTGAAAGGCATAGCTTGAGAAAATTGTCACTCTTCCCGAAGGAATGTCTGAATCTGAATCCAGGCAAGAAAAGAAAAACAAACAAATAAATAGATAAAGCAGTGGATCAAAGCTTTTTCAACCCCTCCCATAGCTGATAAATAAGCCAGTAAGCAAAGCGTCAGCAATGTTTTGTTGAATTAAATTTCCATCGGAACAAAATGCTGGTTTCTTAAGAGCCTCTGATACCTAACCAGCCAAATCCGTATTTAGCTTTAGCCATTCTCAGTTCTGAACCTGTAACTAACCAGGTGGTTGAGAATTTCTCCGGAGTTTTGGATTCAAATGAGAGCAGGTTTTTTTTTTTTTTTTTTTTTTTTTTTTTTTTTGTAAAATAGAAGAATTGTTCAGTCACTCAGCCTATCTTTTGAGAAAAACTCTGTGTGCTATAACAGACCCTGGTTTCACCTCGGCTTTGGGTAAGCTGTGGATGGAACCAGGACTGAATCTGTACATTAATATTTCATCCCAACTCAGGTAATGATGGTCAATTTGAGACATCTAAGCTGAACGACCCAACGCTGCATTCACACAACCCGTTCCCTGAAAACAAGCACTTGCCCAGGTCTTCGGAATGGGGGCCCAAGGCGACTTTCTCCCCCGGAAGAGCTTTCCTATCTTGCCAACCATCGTCCCCAAACGGGGAGGGGGGACTTCACTTCCCACATTCCCAGACCCCAGGGAGACCACAAACACCCAGACCACCACCCCCCATCTAGCAAAGAGGATAGCTGTGTTTCTGTCCTCTTGGGAAAAAGCCGGCCTTGAGGAAGGGTCAGCTGGCACGGGAAGTGAGTTCCTCCCCTCCTCTGGACTGCTTGAGAAGCAACCCGGTTCACACGACGCGGCTTTGTTTCCTTCGGGCAGAAAGGCGGGGGGGAGGGGGCGGGCAGAAGAACCCTGGAGAGCGACGCTGCTCCCTGGCGCCGCCCCTCGGGCGAGAGTCGGGGCGGAGCCCGACGACCAGGCTGCAGACGCGTGTCTTCTGTACGTGGGAACGCGCCCCGGCCGCTTCTTCTTTTTCCTCCTCCTCCTCTCCTCCTCCTCCTCCAAGCCATGCTCCAGCCGCGGCCGCCTAGTCGCCGCTGCCCCTCGCTCCTCCCCTTGTGCTGAGCTGTGGCTTGAGCTTCCCCAGCCAGCCAGCCAGCCAGCCAGGCGGCAGGAGGCAGCCCCGCTCCCCGAGCAGGCGGCGGCGGCGGCGGCGGCGACCGCCTTCTCGCTCTCCCCTCCCACTGCCGGCCAGTCCTCTCGCGGCGCGGCGCGGCGGCTGGGCGCAGAGGCAGCCCGGCTCGCCTGCCCGCCTGCCCCATGCCTTCCTCGCCCCCCGCCCCTGCCTCCTCCTCCTCGTCCTCCTCCTCCTCCTCCTCCTCGCCGCCGCCGCCGCCGCCGCTGCAGCCCTGCCCCGGAGCCTTCGCCTAGCCCGGTGGAGGAGACGCGGGGGCGGCGCCTGGCTCCGCGGTCGCCCGCGATGGATCTATTCGACTTTTTCAGGGACTGGGATCTGGAACCGCAGTGGTAGGTAGCCACACGCTGGCCGCGAGGGAGGCAGGGGAGGATGGGTTGGGGTGTCAGCGCCGGGAGGATGTGCAGCATGCCGCCTGGGGTCTGCTTTGCAAGAGGGTGGTGGTGGTGGTGGTGTGTGAATTGGAAGGGGAGGGGGATAAAGCCCACCCCCCCCCCGACCAAGCAGCCCACCAGCCCTCCAGGTCTTTCCAAAGCCAGATTTGAGAAGCCTTTGTTGCATCTATCATTCCCCCCCCCTCCCCGCCCCAGCCATCTCCCTCTTTCTTTCTGTCGGGCTCTCTTTGATTTCACGTTGGCTTGGCCGAGAAAGAAAACTCTCCCAGGCAGCGGCGGCGGCGGCGGCAGCAGCAGCAGCAGCAGCAGCCCGGCCCGAGCCGTGCAAAGCCGAGCCGAGCTGCGCGTCCTGGCGCGCGCACGGGGGTCTCCTTTCGCGGGATGTTCCAAGTTGCCAGCGGCCTTCTTGTGAAGCGGACGGCGTTGCCTGGAGAAAGGGGAGGGGGTGTTTAGGGCTTTTCCTACACACACAAACACACACACACACACACACACACACACACACACACACACACACACACACACACACACACACACACACACCCCTCCCTCCCCTCCTCGCCAATCTATGCCCATACCTCGCTGCTGCGCCCTTGAACCCAAGTTGGAACAGGTCGGCGTGCCGCTCCCTTCCCGAAATGAAGAGGAACGGATCCCCGGGAGACACACACACCCCTCCATCCCCCCCCCACCCTTTGCATTTCCCGCAGGTTGCTTTTGCAAAAATGCACCCGCGGTGCAAACAAAAAACAAACAAACAAAAAACGCCTGCCGGATCCCATCTTTCCATCCGGTTCCCCGCTCCAAACGCCCATCTTTTCAACTTAAAAAAAAAAGTCTTGAAAATACAGAGAGTTGAAAAATGTTGTGGGCTTTTGGGGGGGAGGGAGGGGAGAAGAGAAATGTGGTTTTTGCAAAAATGGGGAACTTCTTTTCCTACACCCCGCGCGCCCCACCTCGCAAATAGCTGAGCTTAAGTTATGCCCAGATATTTCAAGATCTTAGGTGGGTCGGATTCCGCACGTGGAGACGCCGATTTTATTTTGTTTTTTAAAATTATTACTATTATTATTATTATTTTGCAAAAACCAGTTTTGAACTCGGAAAAAAAACAGGGATGCTTGGATGCCTCGGAAATAATTTGGAACGATCTTTGCCAGTATTTGGGCTTGCTTGACGTTGGAGTTTGCCAAGCGAACAAGTGTGTCGTAATTTGTGTTTTTCCTGGAGACTGGGGGAAATAATCATGAGACGGATAATAAATAATAATTATAAAATGGGATCCAGACTGTGTCCCTTCCAGTGAGGCTGCAGATTGTTCATAAAGTTAAAAGGAAGAAAGAAGGAAAAAGAGGCGGATATTTTGGCAGGTCCGCTTTGCAAATGCCTGGAAGGTGTTGGCTTAGGTGTTTTGCTGATTTGTGGAGTTGTTATGAATTGTGAGTCACAATAATCACCTTTTAAAAAGAGAGAGAGAGAGAAACACCTTTGCGGTGAAACTGCTCCTGTCATTTCGCCAAACACACTGTAGCTGCCTGGCTGGGAATTCCCTAAAATGTGTCAAGTTGTATTTATTTTATTGTAGTTTATTTTTCACAGCACCTAAAAAAAAAAAAAAAACCAGCCATTTATGGAAACCATAAATTATCCCATATCGGAATCATCTTCCTGCCAACGCAGTGAGTTTGAGGAATAGTTTTTATCAGTTCTGTGTAAACCCATCACATTATGTTGCTTAATAACCACGCTGTTGTTACTTAAAAGTAATAATCACAATAAAATTAGCACTCAATTAAATATGCCGCTCCACAGTATCTTTACCCTGCCAAACTAATTTATTTTCGCAGACAGCTGATAACCGCTGTATTGCTACTCAAACAGTATTTGCATACAATTTGCCTAATTTATGGTGTGGGTAACATCATTAATTTAATAGAAGCTGTTACAACTGAGCATGGAGGTGTCATCTGAAAAGCAAAAGCATGTTCCCTTGTTTATCGAGTCTGACGCGGGTAATTTTTGTAACCGATCAGATGGGGAATGTTCAAAAGATGCTTTGCGTGAGGAAAAAAAAAATGATCTCGCCCAGCCTTTGATTTCAGAGATGCCCGAAGGTGGTTATGAAGCTTCAGTTTATCTGGCCAGATATCGTTTGCTTTCCTCAATGGCATTTAATCTTTGGGAACAAGGGGAGGTGTTGAAGAATTTGTCCTTCTGCTTGGGTCCGTTTCTCAGCAGGGACTAAAGAAATCCTCAATTCTTGGTTTTCTGGGTTGCGGCGAGAGACAAAAGTCCTCTGATTGAATCGGACTGGGTTGGTGGCCTACCCTATCCTAGCCTGGGGGGGTAATCCTTTTGGGAGACTGGACTTTGCAGCCATGTTGTGTGCTGGCTAAGCGACGGCACCTAGATGGCCTTTGTTAATTTAGGGAAAGTTCAGCAGGTACGTCCTTTGGTGGAAAACCATCTGGAAATTATAGTTGGTTAGATTGCCCCATTTTACGATCTTTCTTGCCACAGTCATTAAGAGAATTCCTGCAATTCTGAAGTTAGTAATCCGGTTGTTCAGTGAATCTGGCTCCACCCCCTTGACTTTGCTTGTCAGGGGATCACGTGACCCCGGGACATGTCATAAACACGAGTCCTTTGCCCAGCATCTGAGTGTGAAAAACGGTCCTAAGCAGTGGTGGGATTCAGCCGGTTCAGACCAGTTTGGTAGAACCGTTAGCTAAATTTTGTTGAAGAACCGGCTGAACTCATGCTGCTTCTGGAAGTCCGTTCTAGGCCTCAGAGGCCTGAAGGAGGTCTCCCAGGCCTAAAACAGACCACCGGAAGTGCATTGATGTCACGTCCGGAAGTCCGTTCCAGGCCTTGGAGGCCCAGGCCGGCATCCACGCAGAGATCCGGATTTTTGGGGATTTGAATCCCACCACTGGTCCTAAGTCACCTTTTTTCAGGGCTGTCGTAACTTCGAACGGTCGCTAAATGAACAGTTGTAAGTCAAGGGCTACCTGCCCCAAGACCGTACCTCAAATGACAACATGGGATGATGGGCTGAAAACTCTTGAGGAAGGTTGATGCAATAGCCAGGGCTCAGCATTGGTGGTACATCCAGAGACCTGTGGACTCTGAGAGAGGAAAGAATTGTTTGAGTTTCCAGGAAGGTCTATTTTGGTGAAAGCTGAGATTGTTTGGGGTGGGGAGCTGGGGCTTGGATTTGCTTAGTTGCTGGATACGTAGGAAGTGCCGTGTGTCTTGTGTCATGCTCTGAAAAGCAGAATATGCAGATAGTCCCTTCTAAATATAACCAGCTCCAGAACGGAAAGTCAGCGCTTGCAAGATTGATGGCTCTGTTGTCAGTTGCAGAAGAAACCTCCATTGTTGTCTTGTTCAGGTTTCTGCAAAAGACCACCCTGAATTCATTTGGTGGGAAACAGAGGCTCCTGAACCAGGGTGTGAGGAAAAGTTAACTTTGATGTTCAGATCAATTCATGCAGGGGTGGCACCAATTTCCCCATCTCCAAAGCTCAGTTTCAATACATACAGCCGCCCGTCTTCATCTCAAGTCAGTCTTCTGAGTCAGGACAAGCCTTTAGGGAGCAGGATCTGCAAAAGGTCCCAGGTGGCTTCAGGGGAGCCCAAGATCCTGCATTAATGTGATATCCGTTTTGGCCATTATCACCTCTCGGTTCTACAATGTAGTCTGATGAGATTGACACACAACCGATCTCTGCTCCAAGGTGCTGATGAGATTTTCAGGCTGAGGTTGCAGATTTAAGATTTTTGGGAAGGCCGAGGAAGAGCTGCGTAAATAAGATCAGTTTGGGAAATGGTTTAATCAGGAGAACCAGAAGAAGGTCCAAGGGATCCAGATGTTGCAAGGAGTGTCATTTTAGGGAGCAGTAAAGGTCCTCAGTGCACACAGGTTTTCTCTATAACTTTCAGTTTGTGCTTACAATTCTGTGGGGTAAGCGGGGTTGAGTCGGTTTGACCTGAGGCCTCCTAGAAAGCCTTGGCTAATTTGAACCATGGTCTACTTTATTCTGTGCTTTCGTATGGAAGACTGATGCTTTTCCAAGTAGTCTGTCTGTCTGTCTGTCTGTCTGTCTAGCTAACTAGCTAGCTAGTTATTTCCATTGCTGTAAGTTTTGAAGAAGAGGTTAGACAGTCATTGTCCAGAAGGATAAAGGGTTTCCAGCCTGAGCAGGGGGCTAGACTAGAAGACCTCCAAGGTCTCTTCCAATTCTGTTATTCTGTTATTTGTTTATTTCATTTGTTATGAAATTTATTTGCCACCCATCTCGTATCACAGGACTCTGATTTCCATTCTGCACAACAGCTGCTCAATTTCCTTGGGAGATGCTACCGGTGAAAGCATTCAGTAGAAGCCACAGGATCGCTGGGTGAGTCATGAGACCTTCACCCCAAAGGTGCAAATGACATTGCTAGCATCACTTGGAGGATGGCCTCACCCTTCCCAACAATGTCATTTTCCCTCTTGTCCTCCTGTGACAATGGGGCAGTGCTGTGGTTAAATGGTTCAAGATCCGAGTTCCACGTGATGGGGTGAGCCTCCGTCCTCGCTCCACCTCCTTCCTAGGTAGCAGTTCAAAAGCACGCAAATGCGAGTAGATAAATAGGTACCACTTCGATGGGAAGATAACAGCGCTCTGGGACGTCATGCTGGCCACAGGACTATGGAAGTGTCTTTGGACAGCGCTGGCTCAGTGGCCTTGAAACTGAGATGAGCACAACTCCTATAGTTGGCAACAACTAATGAAGTAAAATCCGCAGGAACTCCTTCACCTTTGCCTCCTGTGACGAGCATGTTAAGAAATCATAGGGTGTAACTTAAGGATGTCCTAAAATCTAAGCATCGATCAAGAGAGAAATCAAATTCTCTATCTTAAACCCCTTCCTTATCGTTGGATGCTCGT